GTAACAGATTTTTAAAAGCACGGTCTCCACCGGACAAACACTAATTGAAGAGTTTACTGCACGCCAGGTCCAAGTGAACAAGGAAGCGCTCACCTCCCCGTCCGTCCTGTTCGGAAGGTCTAGGCTTACAAGTGAGGACGTCTGAGGGACTCTCGGGAAAACGTCCAGAGTGGTTACCCTGGGTGGTGGAGTTTGAACTTTTTTTCCTTCTGCACTGTCTAACGTTTCTAAAATGAATGTGCAATTATTTGAAAAATTAAAAAAAAAAACCAAAAAACTTAAGCCGAGAGGGGATTTTTAAAGGAAAGAAAGAAAAATCCTAAGAAACTAGTCTCGAAACAGTTCATGGATCTAGAAAGCATTTCTGCTGGACTCAAGATGCTCCTCACCTCCCGCCCCTGTCCCCCAAGGAGGTCAGAGAGGACCAGGCCTCCTCAGGGGCCCAAGGAAAGAGGCCTCAGGGGACTCAGTGCTTGTCCCCTCATGCTACTTCAGCCAGAGGCACACTCCAGCTCCGTCCGAGCCTGGGGTGCTACGTGCTGACTCCATTTCACACACTTCCTACTCCCAGGGACCTTGAGGAACGGGGCAAGGACTAGGGGTCCTGCCCGTCGGCGCATGAACACGTTTTAAAGGTCAAATCGAACATCTAAAAATACCGAACTCCTACACTCCTGTTAAAGTCAAATGGCAAAACATTACATTAAAAAGTCTGTTTTCTTGATACTGATGAATAGTCTACAGTGCACAGAGACTCGGAAGGGGCCACGGTGACGATGGCCTCCCCACAGGTGTGGGGCCGAAGCCCAGGTGACGCGGCAGAGCCCACTATACCCGTCTCCGTCCCCTAGCCCGGGGGCACCACCGACACTGGTTTACAGATAAGAAAGCCAAGCCTCAGAGAAGTCTAGGGACTTGCCCAGGGTCAAAACTAGAAGTAACAGAAGCCAAACATTCAAACCCAGGTGGGCATGTGGCACTGAGATGCCCCGTGGTCACTGGGAAAAAAGCGGGTCCCAAAGAAGAGCCATCGGAGACCCCCCGATAAAGGAACTGGCTGCGGTCCCGTCTGAGGGCCTCATCTCAGCGGCCTCTGGTGCCCGACACCACGAAGTCGGAACGTGATGGGTGCTCGGTCACGCAATTCTTAACAGGGACTTTCCTCGATCGTGGACGATGACTTTCGACTGCGCAAATCGGGCTGTTTTACATTCGAATGACCGAAAAGAAAGGGCCATTTGTGGAAGGCTTGGGCACAGTGCCTGGCACAGGGGAAGAGCCCAGCAAACACGTGAAACCAAGGAAAATCCCAGTTAAAGGCCAGGATGAGAATTTCGTGTGTGTGTGTGTGTGTGTGTGTGTGTCCCCAAAGAGTAACTCTATTTGAGAGATTAGCATCAAAACGTCGAATTACCTGAAATCGGAATTTCTGAGTCTCTGAAAATATTTCAAAATAAAATGGAAGTGAGGAGACCGACAAGTCCCTGGTTCCCACCTGGAGAAAACCAACTCCTGGCAGCCGTGCCCCTCCCCCACCTCCCCAGGACGGACCAGGGCGGCCCGGGCCGAGAGCTGGGAGAACTGTCCACCAAACATACGGCCCCCCCATCTGTCTCTGCGAACAGACTTTCCCCCTAAATGAACAGTCCTGAAATCCCAGGTGGTTCTAATAAAACATAAGCCAACAATGTACGCTAATCCATTTTTGTTGTCCAGCCGGTGACATTATCTCCCGTGGCACCTTCCGACGTGGGCCTGAGAGGTGACCAAGCTTTGAAATGCTGGTTTCCTAGCCCAGCGCCACACAGGTGAGACACCCAACGGCCACCGACCTGCACGAAACCCCATCAGAGCTTTCCTCCTGGAAGAACCTGGAACCCTCGCTTCTGAAACCACAACGGGGGAAAAACCCTCCTGGCTTCTGCCAGGGGTGATGGGGGTGGGGTGGGATCTGGGGGGAGATGTGGGGTGGGGTGATCTGGGGGGGATAGCAGGGAGGGGAGGGAAAGTGAGCCCACGGCAGGCTGCTGTGTCTTCCCTCCCTGCCCCGCCACGTCCACAGCATCTACTGCGCGGCCCTGCTCACCAGCCGTGGGCCTGGCCCTCTGCGTGGATCACGTGCGTGTGTCACATCGGCTGCAATGATTCCTTCCAGTTCAGTCCGAACACAGGACCTTTATTTCCCATTTACGCCCCGGACACATACAAACTATCTGATACCACCGGTGAAAGCAATTTAAAAACGTTTATTTAAATGTGTGTGCATTTTTAGGATATTCCATTTATGTTTTTGTATCCTAAAACTATATTAAAAATTCAAACTCTTTCAAAAATGGCAATAGCGTAGACGGGCACACAGAGGTGGGTGAGCCATGCCGAACACCATGGAATGGCCACGCTGATTACTACTCACAGGCCAGAAATTACCTCCGTCAGATACTGGAAGCTTTAAGCTGCTAAGGTTTGTCTGAGAAGAGAAGGTCCGCGTAGTAGCTCTGTGGCTGTAGGGGAAGTCACCGCCCTAGGTTTTCGCCTTGGCCAGCACCTCTTCACCTGTCCATTCATTCATGGGACGTCTGTCTGCACGCTGGGGACGTGGCGAGAGATGAAATGCAGCTCCGCGCCCCGCAGCGCTCTGCCTGGGGAGTCAGGGCAGGCCCCCCCGAGGAGGGAGCCCGAGGGGGCTGTGTCTTAGGGGAAAACGAGGCCCCGGCTGGCACCGCGCAAAGGCCGCCGAACACCGGAAGGTGTGCCGCCTGCAAGGGCGTCTGGGGAAGCCTCCTAAACCAGTTCCTCCTGAAGACAAGCATTCACGCCACGTCCGGCACTCGCCCACTCACTGGACCCGCCATCACGCCCTGCTGGTCTGCTCCATGTCACCCCCGCCAGACCTCCCCGGCCCCCAGCACCCCAGCCGCTCTGACCCGACCCAGGTCCCTCCGATCGGGACACCCTCCAACGACAATTGTATTCATTTCATCACTGACACTCTTCTCTGCGGCCATGCTCTGTATTCTCTGCTTTTTCTAGAAGCTTCCCACTACCACGATCACACAGATCTAAGCCCACCCAGCGGCCCCCAGTCTTCGGGCTGTTCCGTCTCTGATGATTCATGACCCAGAACCGTCCTGTCTGCGTCGCGCTCCAAGCACCTTCTGCCACATCCCCCACCTCCTCCGGGCCTTGGGGACACACGCGGCGTGTGCCCCCACCTCCAGCGACTTCTTCACGCCTGTCCCTTGGCTTTCCTGCCCCGTTCTTCACGGCCTGACCCGGGAGCGCGTGTCCAGGCCACTGTTCAACTCAAGCCTCCCCTGAGCTCCTCCACGCCACGGGTCCAACTCGAAGGGAACGAGGCCCAAGTCTTCGCTCTCTCCATCCGGCCCCTCTGACCAGCGGGGTGGCCCCTACATGCACCTCCTTAAATGCTGCACCCCGGGCGGCCTGGTTGGCCTCTTCCTAGTCCCAGCTCTGCTAATAAGACTGGCTCGGAAGTTCAAAGGCACTCACTCCCCACGGGCTCACTGCCCCCAAGGAAAAGCTCTCTCGTTTTAAAATAACGTTACTGCTAATTACGATCGAGAAAAAGTAATTGGCTTCGACCGAGCTCAAGGACTCTCACGGCACCCTCAGCCGTCGAGCATCTCCGTTCTTCGCCTGGGGTCCCGGGGCCTTCTCCGGACTGCGGCTCTCTGCTGTAACGTCTGGGATGAGCTGGCCAGGCCCGCCCGAGGAGCCATCTCCTCACTTTGTCCGGAGCCTACCTCCTCCAGGCCTGTCCTAGGCCAGCAGGCGAGTGTGCAGACGGCCATGGTGGAGAAAAAGGGCCGCCGTGGGACCGACGACCGGCAGCTGGGCCTCTGCTGCCTCTCCCTCGCTGGAAAACCTTCGCTGGCTCCACAGGGCAAAGTGTCAGCCGCTTGCCCTCGAACTCAGGGTCTGTGACGCCTGGCCCCAAACCCCCTCGTGGATGAAAACAGGGTTCTGTAATAAATTGGCCGAAAGTAACCTCGCGGGGTGATCTGATCGCAGATTCCTACCCGGGCAGGTCCCGGTGGGTAGCCACACCCCAGGCCCATAGAAAAGTTTCTCTTGGCCTTCAGCAGGCCCTCCCTGCCTGGATCACTGCACCTCTGAAAAGCCCAGCTTCAGAGCTCTTGCTGGCAGCCACCCTCAGAGCACAGAACCTTCGAGCTCGTACTCCAGTCACCGAGGTTCCCGCCGGGCCTGCTCCCTCCTTAAAGTAACCTTCCTCGCCGCCCCTCCTTAATTCCGAACGCATAAAAGAGACTGCGAGTCTGTCATTCTCCGGAGCATCTGAGATCCTGCTTCCCAGTGTGGCTCAAAGAAACGCTTAAAGAAATTCTCTGCAGCTTTGGACGTTTCTTACAGAAACTCACTTTCTTCTTACACAAATTCCCTACGTCACTGGAGTTCGACCCTGGATAGGCGTTATCCAGGGCTGAACTAGCGGGGAGCTACTTTAAAAACCAGTCATGTCCAGGCCCCGCCTTCAGAATTCTGATTCAACTGGGGGAGGGGCCAGCAAAAGTTTTCGTTTTTGTTTTTTAATGTTTTTAAAGTTCCCCGGCGATTTTAACGCGTGGTCTGAGTTTTGACGCATTCTATTCTTGCTGGCGGAATTCGGCTACTCAGTGACACCCAAACAAATGCTCTGCGCACAGCGCCTAGGCAGACATGGTCCACGCGGACGCCAGCCGTTTCCTCCATTCTACGAGGGGGCTGGGCAGGTGGGCTCAGGGCAAGAAAGGTGAGCTGGCGCTGGCTCTTGCTGCTCACACAGGCTGTCACCTATATAGTAAGGCTGCAGCCCCCAACGCTGGTGGCTTGAGGTCCATCATGAAGGGAGCTATTTACGCCCTGGTCATTGGCAGATGCCACCACGAAGGCTCTGTGTCTTTTTTTTTTTCCCCCTCAGAGAACAGGCTCAGCAGCACCCGACAGGACGAGGGCCTCACACACTGCAGAAGCTGGAGCAGTAGACAGGCGCGTCCTCTCAGGCCTGCAGACGTCGGGGGCTTCCAAGTTCACCAAGTGCGGCCGGTTCCCTCAGTTGCCTGCTCAACGCGGGGGAGGGAGAAGATGGGGGAGGGGCTGATTTATAAGAACTTGGAACCACAAAACCCTTTCACAGAAAGTATCCTTTTCAATCTGTTCAGAAGAGATGGGCCAGCAGGCTTCAGCTCCGTTCCCAGGAGACTAGCTTTTATTGAGCAGATAAGAATAATCTCATTAGTATGTCATTTCTTAGATTGTAAAGTGGAAGGTGGAATCCTTATCTTACATTTACTTAACAGCCTTCCCACAATCTTAGTCTTATTCTAGTGACCTCGGCTGCCCAGAATACCCTCTTCCCAGGGTGTGAGGACACGCTTCACGCTGAGTTATCTCAACTTTTGAAATTGCGACCTTCCAAATAAATCAACCTTTACCCTGCAGACAGGGTAAAGGCACTGGCCCCTGGGAAGAAAGGTACCAAGCCGCTGCCTCCCACTCTGGCTGAAAAGATTTCACGGGTTTTAAAGATTTTCTCACTGTCAGAGAATGAGCTTTCTTTGTCCTTGTGTTAGAGACGAAGGCACTCTGCTATTTCCACGCCTGTGTCTAAACGCTACCAAAATCGCGACGGAGAGTGGTCTGCTTTTGGATTTCAGCGCACTGGGAGACGGGGGAGCTCTGGGCTCGGGCCGATCCAGGTTCGAATCCCAGCTCAAGCACTTACCAAATGAACTACGTTGGAGAGACTTTTTGGGAGAATGTAAAATGTGCACCCAGGGCCTGGTACATCGTAAGCCTTCAGCAAGTGATACCTCTTTCTTCCCCTTTAAACACCTCAAATCTCGACTTAAATTAGGCGAACTTGGTCCAGTGTTCTCTCGCTCAAATCCACAGGCGCTTACTGACAGTTTGAGAAAAGTACGTGCTCACCTGGCGGGCAGAGGGCTGTGTGCATCGCCCGGGATTTCATCCTTCTCCCCGACACACACCATGCACACCCTTAATTTCTAAAGCACCCTCTCCCGTCCCATCAGGCGCTGTCATGACATGGGGCTGCCCTCGGGCTCCTCATAGATGCTGAGGAAGCAGCTGGATCATTCCCTGGCTGTGTAGTGGGAATGGGGGGGAGGGGATGCTCGGTGAATGAATTTTCTGTCACCCTCCAGAGATCGACGGCAGAATGTGGGGCTTCTGCTGGGCGAACGGCGGGGGTGCCAGGGGACCCAGCTCTGGAAGCTGTTGTATATCCCGGGCGGCCGGGAGCGGAGCTGGCTGTGCTCCCTCTGAAGTTGCTTCAGCTTTTCGGTGACCCTTCCCAGTCTCTGGGTGTCGGGCGGTGACCTCGGGGTAAAGAAGTTCCGGGGTGCCCATCTCCAGGGCTTTAGGAAACAAAACACCCCAGGGGCCCGACTCCAAGTCTCAGAAGAAAAACGGCCCATTCCAGGTGCTGAATCTGAAACGAAGCTGCAGGAAACCCACATGGCTGGCCCAAGGCCTGCTTGCTGAACAGCTTCTACTCAGTCAAAGGAGGCTGGAACCTCCAACGGGGGCCGAGGGGGCTTGCCCGGGCCAGAGATGAGGTCAGTGGGGCTGAACTCAGTGCCCCTTTCCCTTGTGTGGGCCAGGGGCTCCCCGTAGAAAAGGTGGAAGCCAGAAGGCCACCCAGGAAGAAGAGCCGGCACATACACACCTCCCACGGGAGACGACTGGCGGGGATCCGAGGGTTTAAACCCCATTCGCCATTAGCATATCTTATTATCAAACCAGAAATCAACATTAGAATAAGAAAGATGTCTGTTCCAGCAGCCTGGGGGAAGACACTCCCAGGCTGCCAGTGAGGAGAAAGCAAGTTCACAAACAACAGCAAAGGAAAAATGCAGCCCGACTCCCCCTTCCTCGGACACCGAGATAAGGAAGAGCAGTTACCAGACGATGAGCCCAGCCACGACACTTATCAGCGGCCTCTCTGTCCAGCCCACTTTCTGGGTCCTTCCGGAAACCGCATGTCTGGGCTGCGATCAGCTACTAGACCTTGGGCCGGATCAAAGCATTGGTGGGCGCGACAATTAAAAAATGAAACTATCAAATGACAACGTGGAGCCCGTGAGACGGTTTACAGAGAGGAGATCCGTCACCATGCCTTCCGTGGGAGGGGAACAAAAGGTGTGAGCCACCTCTCCCCACCCGGCTTTTCTCCCTGAAATTAACTACTGGTGAGAGTCCCTACTGATTGTTTTCAAAAGGACGCTGAAGTGTAGTGTCCGAGTTCCGGACCAATAGGAAAAAAATGAGAGCTCACAGAAGCCGCTGAGGCCGGGCATGAGCTGGTCATGTTCATTTAGTAAACAAGTGAGCCATGAAACAAACCCCAGGAGCCTGGTTTGTGCACGTTCCGAGTCCCTCTCCCAGAACTAACTGTCCCCTCTGGGATCAGCGTGGCCTCTGCAGTCCTCAGATGGGCAAGCGTCAGGCCTGAGCAACTTGGGGTCCGTCTTAACAGCCATGTCCCCTTAACCTCTCCCCATCCGCCCACGCGCAGAAGGCAGAGAAGGAAGCAGATCCGGGCATGCTGTGGCCTTCGTAGGCCCCATTTTCTGAGGGACTTGGCTTGGAGAGACTGCCCTCAGCAGGGGACCAGGATAATTCCCCAGGCTCCGCCGGACAGACACCCCTCGGATGGCCAGGTGAGAGGCAGACTGTTTTATTGGATGACCACGACAGCACAGAACAGCAAAACGCTCCCTGGCCCCTTAAAGTACAGCCGCTGTCCATCCACGGATGGCAAAACGCTTCGCAAACCACCCATTAATTTTTATGGTGACCTGAGAAGCAGATTGGGAATCATTACCTTCGTTTTCACAAGGCAAGGAACCCGAACCACAAGGAGGTGGACAGGCACCAGGCCAATTGTCTGAGCCAGCGATCCGGGCTGACCACTCTCCTCCCCCCATCTCAGGCCCCCAGGAGGCATGGAGAGAACCCGCCCACTGAAGAGGCGCCGGCGGCTCGCTGAGAAGGGAACCCGGCCCGTAAACCCAACTCTGAGGCTCAGAGAAGGTCGCGTTTTGAAAAGCAGGGAGGAAGAGGGAGAATTGCTTAAAGGGATTACTTTTGATTTAAGCTAGAGAGAGAAGGTCCAGTTGTACTTTACTGACTAAATCATCAAGACTGTGACTCCCTCCCCCTCCCTCAAAAAATAAAAAAGATTAATAAGTATTAAAGATCGATAGGAACTGCGGGGTCATGGACGGTTTCTGTTTTACTCTTTGTATTCCTCTTTATTTTCATGTTTTCTACCCAGTGCATATCTTGTTTCCGTGATCAGAAGTTAAGCGAACTTACTACCGCCGATAAGCACGCCGTACCAAGCGGCTACGCTAACTTGGAAAATAGGCACGAATAAAATCCAGCCCAGCGTTCCCTTGTTGAATCTCATCGCTCCGCGAGGTCCCCCGCGCTGTCCGCACTTACACAGCCCGGCTGCCCTCCCGCGGCTGCTCCCGGCCGCTGGGCACCGCCAGGCAGGGCCACGGGGCTGGCGGGCAGGCCCGGGACTAGGAGCCGCCGGACGCCAAGGCGGGGATGCTGCAGACCACCGCTCCGCGCCGCGGGGTGGCCTCCCGGGAACCCTCACTTCGAGAACAACGTGCTTCTCCCAGCTGTCCCCACCCGCCGGCCGCCGGCGCTGTCACCTCGCGGCTGCTCGGTCGCCGGATGGCCACGCCAGAAACCTGGCTTTCCATTTCCATCCTAAACGAGGGATCTCCGAAGTTGAAATATGCATCGTCACCAATAAGTTTAACCCGGGACTGCGCGCCCTTCCCTCCCCCGCCTCGGGCCGCGCGAGGGGGCGCCCCAGCCTCTCCAGCCCTCGGGGTGCCC